ATCCCCTGCGCTGACCTCTGTCCATGTGAGATCCTGGTGATGCCTCTGCTACAAGTCTGTGATTGTCAGCCTATCACAGCCAGATGTGTGGGAGCACCACAACCAAAGTGGGTGACCCTGACCAGCACCCCAACTTAAAAAAACTATCTGTGGTCGGAGAGATAGTACAAGCAATAAGGAGCTTGCCTTGCTTGCAGCTGACCCTGGTTCAATCTCCCGCATCCCATATGATACCCTGAGCACCACCAGGAGTAATTCCTGAGTGCACAGCTACCCCTGAGCACCCCCCAGATGTGACCCAAAAACAAACCAAAAAACAAAAACCAACCATGTGGGCACCGCAACCAGGAGTGTGAGTTCCAGCAAGCACAACCAGACTGTGGAGGAACAACACAACTAAAAGTGTGAATGTATGTGCCACCTTCACAACCAGTGGGGGCTGAGGGCAGGCAAACAACAAAGGGAATAGGAAGGAAGGAAGGAAGGAAGGAAGGAAGGAAGGAAGGAAGGAAGGAAGGAAGGAAGGAACTTTGCTATACTGCACCCACCACCAATCTTGCCCTGGCTTCTTCTCCCTTTTGCCTCATCCTTCCCCCATCAATTTCAAATCCAGGCATCTATTCTGAGTCCCATTTATGCACAGCCTGGTTAATTCAGTCCCTGCAGATTAGTTCAGTTCTCAAGAAAATCTGAGTGCTTTACCCGAGGAAACCATAAAGTTGAAATAACAAGCAGCAAAGAAACCCAGGGACTCAGAAGCCCAGGTTTACATGGTGGCTTCTTAGTAACTCATGGATTTATGGGAAAAGCTCCCAAGATCCCAGACTCCCTGAGAATCTTTCCTCTGCCTCAATTCTCAGTTCTTTGGCTGCTTCCCTCTTGGGTACATTGATTTATATATCAAAACTTCACAAATGTGACTCCCTACGTGGATCCAGGAGGACCATATACTATCAGAGATTGAACTTCGGGCTCTCGGCTGCAACACATGTGCTCTAGCCCTTTGAACCATCCTCCTGGTCCCACAACACATATTTTTAAAAATCCTCTGGATTTGCTCATACAAAGTCCTTTAGGGACTTATGGTATATAACTGCAGTCGACTATTACCTTCACTTTACCTGCCTTCTAATAAAGGAGGTCAGAAAGCTGAAATGGTCTCTTCTTAAACTTCCCACAACTATATATACAAGGAAAAGGAAAGAGAAGCAAGGTTGAAGACATTCAAGTCTACCACAGCAGCAAATTAGACCCACTGTCTTGTCATCCACTTCCTGGCTGAAGAGGGCGCTGTGCTGACCAGTGACAGCTGCTTCCTGCTTGCCAGGGTTGCCTCCAAAGAGTTGCTTTGGGGTAGTTAGCTCAATGATCTCCAGCCAAAGCAGAGGAACAATGGGCTGGGATACCAACCAAATTTGTTCAAGATCCCATTTTGCTTCTGGTTTGCTTTATTTATTAGTTTGTGCCAATCAGCTCATCCCTCTGGTTACTAGTCATTTCTCTTTGGGTATCACCAATGAATCTTCTTGCAAGATGCTCCTACGGAGGAATAAAGTGATTAGAAAACATTCATACATTGTTCTTTGAAAGTGGGGGTTTTCTGATCCTGACACTACCCCATAGGTCACTTCTCCAGAGTGGCATCCACTTATCCCAAGCACTTTGAAGCAAGGGACATTCCTGAACCCACTGGGGACGCTGCCATTGACTAGCATCTCTTTCCTTCGTTTCATGTGGTTTCTATTTATTTACAGAGTGCCATGGTTATTCATGATGCTTTACAAACCATAAAAACAAGGTCCCCACCCTGTAGACTTTACAGTGTAATTTAAACAGACATGTTGCATGGACTGACAGGTCAGTCATGCCAGGAGATGGTGTTGTTGTTATATAACATGGGTGTGGAAGGTTTCTTCTTGAGTTATAAATACTTTTCAGTTACAAGGTCCTTTCATCTGGGATCCCCAAGCACTTTAGAATAGCAATAACCTCGATTGCTTTCTAAATGCACTTTCCATAAACTGCTGTGGCGACTGAGTAAATGCCTTTAAATGTCTATTAATTGATCTGTACATCTGCTCATTGTCCATATTAAACAGCATGGATGTAAACAAGACAGTTTAGGGCAGGCCTGTTGGGGGCTGTGGCTGCTGGCTCACAGGTCACAGCTCCAGAGAAGATGAAAATCCTGATCTAGCATTGGAAGGGTCAGACAGGCACCCTCAGATGGGCCAGATGGGTACCTGCGTATCCTCCCAGGTGAGATGATTGCCCCAAATGATTTAGAAAGATCACTTCCCAGGGGCGGTGGGGTAGGTGGGGGTATGCTGCTTCTCCAATTACAGGTACCTTAATCTCTCAGTCAGGTGAGCTCAGAGGCTTTCCACTGGAAAGCCCTGGAGTGAAACCTTGGAGGAGAGCAATGTTTTTTGCTTGTGGCTTTGGCACTTTCTTTTCTTGCTTCCCTAGCAATGGAAACATTAACATCTCATCACAACTGGTGTGCAGCTTCCCTTCTGTGTCTCCCTCTAAGGTCATTGAACAAAGTATGCATGACTCCTTAACCTATTCAACAAACTCATTCAAATCTAAGGACAGGTTTGCCTTGGGTTGCAAAACCCAAGTTAACCCAGAGATTCATGAGATAAACATTGTTCCTTCTATCAACTGAAGAATGGATTCCATTCTGAGAGTCATCTTTTTAAAACTCAGAATTCCCCGACCTATGATAATGATGACTATAATCATCATAATAACCTACCTAAAGGGCCTTGCCTGGGTTTGTATGGCCTTCACAGCTTTGACCAGTTGGCTTATCTCTCCAGCTTTATCTCTTCCCTAATGCCCATGGCTTTGCCTACACCAAAGAAGTTGCTACTTTCCCAGAGACCCCCAACTTTCACATCTACACTTCCTCTTTCTTCTTTATATCCTCTTCCCTCCTCATTATACATGGCTGTCCATTAAAACCCTCTCAAATATCCCTGATCTTTATAGCCTGCCACCATCCATTCTTACCCCTCCACTGCAGCTCTTTCCCCAGAGCTCCTTTTCATACCCTTAATCCTGAGCTCACATCATCTTTTAGGTCCTGGGTCACACATGACCTCCTTCTTGCGGGTAGGGGCTAAGTCTCACAGAGTCATCTCTCAGCACAGTTTTGTGAAAAAAAAAAAAAAGAAAAGAAGACTTTTTGGATTTTGAAGGGATAAGAAAGGAGACAGGAGAAAGCACCTGTAGCCAAGGTACTGGGCTGACTCTTGGAGCCTTGTTTTATAGGACTTTATACCCCACACTAGTTCTGATCAGTCCACTTTCTGATCATCAAGTGCCAAATCTCCCCCCCTTTTTTGTTTTTCTGCTTATACAATAAAAGTTTTAATTGTAGTAAAATATACATAATACCTAATTTACCATTGTAATCATTTTGAATGCCTACTTCAGAGATATTAAGTAATTCTCATTTTGCACACAACTTTGAGGAATTTTTTTTTAGGCCAACCTCTGGTGGTGCTCAGGGATTCCTCTGGCTCTGCACTCAGGAATCACTCCTGGAATGCTAAGGGGACCATATGGGATTCCAAGGATGCCAAGACCGTAAGTGGTGTCAGAGATTTGAACCTGGGTTGGTTGTGTCATTTTTGCAGACATTTTATAGACCATCCATCTCAAAATGTTTTAATCCTCCTAAATCTGAAACTCTGTACCATTAAACACTAACTGTCCAGGGTCAGAGAGCTAGTACTGGAAATGCATCACTTGTACTACATGAGCTGCATCAGCTGGGACCTGGGCTCAAATCTCTACACCACGTATGGTGTCCTGAGTACTGCCAGAAGTAAACTGTAAGTACCACTAGGTGTGGCCCACAAACTAAAATAGAGCAAACAAACACTAACTATCCACGTCCTCCTTCTACATACCCTGACAAATACTGACAAATACAGTTCTACTGTCTGTCTCTATGAATTCAGTTACTTTAAGTACATACAATACTTGTTCCTTTGTGATTGATTTATTTCATAATGTCCCCAAAGTTCATCCATATTGTAGCTGTGTTCAGATTTCCTTCCTTTTCAAAACCAAATAAATACATATAATGTAAGTATCTACCACATTTGTTTATCCATCTGTCAGTAGACATTTGGATTGTTCCTACGATTTGGCCATTCTGAGCAATAATAGTGGCTGGTTGCTATACACTGTTCAAGTTTCTGCTCCCAATTCTTTTGAATAGATATCCAGAAGTAGATATATACTCTGCATATATTGCTGGATCATAGTAATTCTATGTTTAATTTCTTGAGAGCACCTTTAGCAGTGATCTCTGAACACAGGGCTAGGAATAAAGCTCTGAGCACCATCTTAAAAAGAAAAAAGAAATAACCAGCACATCCACACACATTTCTTTAGGGGACATAGACTCTTAGTGTCTTGACAGTGACAAACTCATATATCTGGAGAAAGAAGACATTCTAGAAGCAAGATGAGTTCTAAGACTAAGAAAAAAAATACCCGCATGTGGCACCCTGAAATTTTCTAGGTCCTCCAGCACTTTGTACCAACCCTGAGCACTGTCTTTAGTGGATCTTTGGGACTTGAGGCTTTCAGGGACTTGGCTGCCTCGCTGCCATAGCAACCAGGAAACAACCTCCTTCTGGGAACCGGAGGTGCTGGGGCTGGGTCTGTAGCTGCATGCGACCGAACCCGTTGGTAACAGGGCAACAAGAGCTGAGTGACAACAAGGACAGGGCCCCGCAGGTGGAGGGAACTGACCGTGGGGAGACCATCCAGAACTTGAAGAGTCTGGCTTTGCGCTGCATTTTTTTCCCTCCCGGCACAGACACAGTGTCTAAACCGTGGGGCTGGTTGTTGTTATTAAGAAGCTGCTGCATGAGGAGGAAAATGGCTTTCATAAAAATCCCAGTGCTCTTCCTGCGCTCGCTGCTAAGTCTGAGACACCTGGAAGTGTGATCCAAGCACAGTCTTCAGAACCCAGATGACCTGCCCCTGAGGAGGGGGATTCCCCGGAAAACCATGCTCACGCTCTCGCTTCTGAGCCGGGGACATGGCAAGTTGGCCCAGAACAAACAGAGGCTGGAAGTGTATTTTGAACCAGAGGTAAGTCTTTTGCAGAATACACCACATTTAGGGCACAAAGGTGTTATTGGTGCTCTTTTTTTCCCCATTAAGGTTTGAGCTATGTGTGGGTTGGATTTGGTAGCAAGGTGGACCAGAGTTGGGGGCTCTGCTGGTCAATCTTCCCTTCTCCCTGGTGAAACACCAGGGGGGGAAAAACCCTTTGCCTGGCACCTGCACATCACTGGGGACCTTCTTCCTTCCCCTGAGACCATTACTTGGGGCCTCACAGAAGCCTCCAGATTATCTGGAATCTGAATGGTTTGGTTCAAGACCAGAATTTCTACCAGAATCTAGGCAAGAGGTGGCTCTGGTTTTCTGAAGCCCAGCTCTGTGGTTGAAACACTATGAGTGTGACTGCTGTTTGAACTGCTTCCTTGAACTTTCTGAAATTCAACCCACAGGAGTCCTTCATATTGGTTTCTCCCACCCCACAAAATGTCTCATTTTCAGAGATTTTTAAAGAGGTGGCAAAATTCCCTTATTATACTGGAATTTTATTTCCTCAAATCCTGCTAGGAATAAAAAAAAAATCTATTGGGAGGTACCTTGAAAACTCTTGGATCCCACATCAATTCCCATTGTTATGGTAGCTTGTCCTAATAGCTGACCCCAGTTTTACAGAAAGAAGTGTAAAGTTTCAAAGGACCACTGTGGCCAAAGGCATTTACTTACTTACAAGATATGTATGACTCTGTAGGCTCCTAAACAGCCAAATTAGGTAATGTTACATAGCATCTGGAATGTGTAGAAATTCTCCCTGTGTACAACTGAAGTGATGGGTTGGAATGGTTTTTCCCAATTTAAACTGCCAGCTAGACCGGGTCTAATTTCAAAGATATCTGCTGCCCTTGATAATTCTGTCTTGTGTACTTGCCTTACATACCAAGACATTTTACTGGCCTGTCACCTACATGCCACACTATGTAAGGCTCCAGGCATGTATGATGCTCCCCAAAATGTGGGGGCATGAGGGGCTGGAAGTAAAATATAGCACTGTGCCTTGGGTCCTACCAGTTCTAAAATGTGGAGAACAAAATCTCAGTGTTAAGAAGGGTGATTACATCCCCTGGCAGGGTATGAGAAATGAGAAGACAGGTAACCACTCACAATCTGACACAAGCAGTATCTGCTGTCAATGGGCCTCACCCCACAGGGCCCAGCCAAAAGGTTTCTTTGTTTTTCTAGGATTATTTGAACTGGAAGTCCCCAGAAGATTATATCCTGGTCAACCGAGCACAGGATGAGGGCAGTGACACCCAGCACACTTGGAGCCTCTTTCTCCCTAAAACGTTCAGCACCAGAAAGGGCGCCCTCATTCTCTACTCAGAAGGGTTAGCCATATCCGCATGGACGCCTGAAGGGAAGAGGAGAAGCTCCTTTTACCCCAAAGGACACAGGAAGAGACTAAACACACTCCAGGACCTCAAAGAAGCCATCCTGGCTTATGGAAGGAGACAGGTAGGCAGAATGGGTCCTGGATTTGAGAAGTCTCTGACCTCTGTGTCTAGAAAACCAGTTGTGGCTTTGGAGTGTCACTTTTCCTAGGGAGCACTTGGGAGAAAACCCTTGGATAGCAATTTCTTCATTTCTAAGATGGGTTTGAGGTCTGTCAGCCTCGCACCTGCGTTCTCCGGGCTTGAATGAGATGGTAGAGGTGAGAGAGTGCCCTGGAAGGCAGAGTGCACTGTGTCAGTGTCAATTTGTATTTGTGTCTCAGGTAGAGTAACACAGAGTCTTCTGGGCCTGTCTGCAGAGGTTTCAAAGTCTTAGGGATCCTGTTTCTCAGTCACAAACATCCTCCTCACACCTTTGATATTTCGGCATGGTAGGCGGGGCAGGAGAGTGTTTTAAATATTTACCTTGAGCCCTTTGGCATGCCCAATAAGTTACAGCCAATTTCTCTTCTGAATTTTATAGGACAAGCCCTAAGTTCACTTTTCTGAATTATCTTTTTGAATGCCCTGGGAGACAGGCACAGGGTCCCTGCTTTATTAACTGCATGCATTAGTCCTTTGGCTGAGGTCATGAGAGAGGGGAACAACATGTCACTTAAAAAATTTTAGGTTAGGGGCTGGAGCAATAGTACAGTGGGTAGGGCATTTGCCTTGCACACAGCCGACCTGGGTTCGATTCCCAGCATCTCATATGTTCCCCCGAGTACCACCAGGAGTAATTCCAGGAGTGCAGAGCCAGGAGTAACCCCTAAGCATCGCTGGGTATGACCCAAAAAAAGCAATAAAAAAAAATTTAGGTTATAGATGATGGGTTACTCCCTATAGTCTCAGCTGCCCTGACAATTTCCTCGGGACACAGTCACTAGCTTCTGACACGAGACCCTTACCTTACTGCCATTCCCTTCCATTTCTAGCCACACCTCCCACCTATTGATACCACCACTTTGACCAGAGACCCCCTCCAAATCCCAATGAAAAGAAGTTCATCTAATTTAATTCTTAGCTAGAAAATTCCTACTCATCCTTCAAAATACAACACAACTCTTACTGAAGCTTGAACCTGTTTCCCACCTTCTTTTTAATAATTTGGGGGTAGGAGGCACACCTAGTGGTGATCATGGCTTACTCCTAAATTTGCGCTCAGGGATCACTCCTGGCAAGGCTCAGGAAACCATACGGGATGCCGGGGATCAAACCAAGATCAGTCTCATGCAAGCAAGTACCCTATCCACAGTACTACTGCTCCAGCCCCCCTCTCTCACACTTTCACTGAAAATAATCTCCCCCTTGTTCCCTCCTCCATAAACATTCTCCTACAATGGTGCACTAGGATTAATTTCTTTGTTCATCTGTTATGATCTCCTTAAGAACAGTGTCCAAAGTCTCATCCAGAAATAGTTTTATATATTTTTTAATGTTGTTAAATGAATGAATTGGTTACGTGTCCTACTTTTGGTATTTCTCAGATCACTTCTAGTATCATTATTTGGCAAATGTACCATCTTGCCCACTCTAGCAGAGCTTCCTAAGAAAAAGATTCTTCTTTCCCTTTCCTTCTTCCTTGACCAATTGACAGTTGTTCTCTGTGTTAAAATAAATTCTTGGATTAAAGGAAACCAATTGCTCCTGAATGCTGTTACTTTATAGCTATCATTTTATTTGTTCTTTGCTATAACCCATTGAGATGTGTATTTTTTTTCTTGGTCTCTTTTATTGATGAGAAAACTGAGGCTCAGAGGAGTTGAGGAACTAGGCCCAGGCCTTAGAGGTAGAAAATGACAGAGCAAGGATTCAAACTTGGAATAGCCAAACTCTCCAGGGCCAGCATGCTTGACACTTTGCTTGGTTTTCTGTGGGCTTGGAATTTCAGAAGTCAGATCTTAGCCTGTTTGTCCTCATATCACTCCTCATCCTTACCTTACTCTGTTCTGCATTCAAGGAATTCATTTCATCAACAATGAGCAACTAATTACATCAGCAGTGGACTTCTCATTGAATTTGACATTGGAGACATTGGAAAGGACCCTGGGGGTGGAAGAGAGTAAAGTCAGGTTATTTCTGCCCTTCCTTAGTCAGAAGCAGACGCTGCATCACCCCTAAGTCCCACAGAGAGGTCCAATGTGGTTTCAGATTCCTCTAAGTGACCACAAGGCTCTCTTCTCTGTTTTCTAGCCTAGAGCTGGTACTGGCTTTCCTCTGTTAACTAATCTTGGTGTTGCCTCATCATTTGTTTGGTTTCTGAGCTCTTGAATCACCTATGCAAGCAACTCCCTCAATCAAATTCATTCTGTGTTTAAGTGCTTAGAAAGGTCTCTATTTTCCTGCTTAGAAACGGACTAATGTGTAAACTCACAAGCTACCCAGAGTAAAAATAGTTTCTACTGATTTCAGAAGTGTGTCTCCGTGGGAGGATCTGATTATTTTATAAAGTAGATAAGTCTATTTGGGGGTGATTTCATTCTTGGTTATGTTTCAGTTAAATTTTAAAAAAACGAAGTTGGGGCTGGAGTGATAGTGCAGTAGGTAGGGTACATGTTTGCTTGCACACAGCCAGAGTTCAATCCCCAGCACCCCGTATGGTCCCCCAAGTACTACTAAGAATAAAGCCTGAGTGCAAAGATGGAGCTGGAGTAAACCCTGAGAACAGCCAGATGTAACTCCTTCACCCTTAAAAAAAAAAAGAAGAAGAAGCTTCTGGGGCTAGAGCTATGACTCTGTATATGAAGCCTGGGTTGGGTTCCTAAGAAAACTTTCATCTTCTAAAGGTGCCTTCATGGAGTTGGAGTGATCGCACAGCAGGTAGGGCATTTGCCTTGCATGTGGCCAACCCAGGTTTGATTCCTAGCATCCCATATAGTCCCCTGAGCACCGCCAGGAGTAATTCCTGAGTGCAGAGCCAGGAATAACCCCTGTGCATCACGGGTGTGACCAAAATAATAATAATAATAATAATAATAATAATAATAATAAAGGTGCCTTCTTTATATCCATCTTCTAGATTTTTAACACATACCTATGCAAAACAGAAAGCTATAGTTGAGCACAGAATGGGTAGAAGGAAATGGTATAAATTTAAAAAAGGAAAGTTGGAGAAGGAATTTAAAATTAAAGGACACAGTGGATTTAAAGAGAAGGAAAAGGAACTCAGAGGGACTTAGAATTAAAGAAAATGAACGCCTCAGAAGAGGAGAGTTTCACAAACTATAGAGCATCTGATTATGCAAACTACAGATTGGCATGAAACTTTGTAAACCATAATGTCCAGTGCCGGAACGCTGTCAGGGCAGAGCTGACTCACACATCAGGAGCCCATATTCAAGCACCTTTCTGAAGGGCACTTTGGCAAAGGCCTGAAAAGGATGGATACTTTTTGATTTAGCATTCTACTTTTAAGAATTTGCCTCAGGAAATAATCAGAGATGAGTCCAAAGATTCATGGACAGGCATTTTTACTACAGGCTTATTTATTACTCTGAAAAACATTGAAAACAATAAATGTCCAACAATGGAACATTGATTAAATGAATTATGAACCCCAAACTCCTTGGGATCTGTCTTTGTTTATGTAAATATTCCAGCTTAACAGTTAAAAATGAATTAAAAAAAAGAAAAAATTTTTAAAAAAATAACTCTTAGATAAGACTTAAAACAAAGTCATGTTTCAGTGACAAATAATATAATAAAGTATTCACAATGACTTTTTAAAAAGCAGGTTACCAAAATAATATTCATGTGACTAAAGTATCAAAGTTGGTTCACTTTTTCTGAGTATTTATTTTGTTTCTACACTATTTTCTTTTTATGTACTTTCCATTTATGTCTTCCATGAATCCTGGGGGTAGATATTATTATCTCATTTTATTGATGTAATTTTCTTTTTTAAAATTGATTTAAGGGGAGTTTTAGGGCTACAATTAGCTGTTCTTGGGGATTCTCTCAGCTCAGAGCTCCCCTTGGTACTCAGGAACTATGCAGTGATGGGGACTGAACCTGGGTATCCTGCATGCTATTTCTCTGGCATCTATTAGCATTCCATTTTAAAGGCAAGGAAATATATGTACACAGAGTTTGAGCAATGCATTCAAGAGTTTACATTTTAATAGGTAATAAATAAATAATAATAATAATAAAGGCCCTCCCATTGATCATCGATTTGCTCGAGCGGGCCCAGTAACGTCTCCATTGGAGACTTTGTTGTTACTGTGTCTGGCATATCGAATACTCTCGGTAGCTTGCCGGGCTCTCCGAGAGGGGCGGAGGAATCGAACTCGGGTCAGCCATATTGGCTGCGTGCAAAGCAGACGCCCTATCCGCTGTGCTATCGCTCCAGCCCCATATTTAATACATAGCAGTATTTTTTAATTCCCTCTTTAATGCAATCTCAACTTTAAAAAAAAACTAGTTATATGTGAGCAGAAGGATATACATGAGAACTTAATTATGGGTTGTAGCATTAAAAGTCACATTTGTATGTATCTTTTTTACCAGACTTTTTTTTTTTGGTGATAGAATTTTTTAAATAAAACTGGTATTGTTGACTTTGAAGGAAGTAGACAGTGAAGGGGAAAGCTGGGTTGACCGGGAGAGCCAGGTGGGTGCAGGAAGAGAAAGAGGAGCAGAGAATGGCGTGACTGAAGTCCTCCAAAGAGCCAGAGCAGCTGCTCCTTGGGGTCTGTCTTTGTTTGTGTAAATATTCCAGCTTAACAGTTAAAAATATCTCATTCAAACTGAAAGAGCCAAAACAGGGAAGTGGTGGGAGTGCGGAGACTGGTTTGCTGATGAAATAGTTCTGTTTATAAAAAGCTCTAAACTGGCAGGACTGTGAATTCAGAAACCTGCACCACACAGGCTCCCAACAAAACTGTGGGAATTAAGACTGTCTCAGGGAAGGGCATTTACATTTTTAAGCACCTCATTTCATCTCCAGTTCTCTGTAGGGACCTAATGGCATGTATGTGACAGTGTGTCTGGGATTTATAGTTCAATATACACCAACTTTTAACT